TACGAATTTTTGATTTTTTTTCGAATTTATTATGAATTAAACATTTAATTATGGTTTTTGACTATTTTTAATTCATATTTAATGGAAGGGTAAGAATGGAATGCAAAAATAGGTATGTTTCCAATAGGACTCATATGGTCCTATTTTGGATTAAAAACATAGCAAGTCCTATTTTAGGTTTTTGACATAGTTTTAGTCCTATTTGAACTAATTTCTATTCATAATAATTTCACTTAGTTAATTATCATTGTTTCGAATTTTTTATGTGCCTATGAAGATGTGTTCATTTTAACTTGCATTCTGATTTATCAATTCGTGTATTCTGATTCGGCATGATCCTATAAAAGTCTGCACAGTACGACTGGTTGTACGGTGTATATTCTCATCGGATCATGTCAAATCAGATGACAGAATACACCAATTGTACGGTATAATTTGCTTGATCTTATTTATTATACTTATATCTGTTCTAGGTTTAGTTTTAGGCTAATCCCTTTAAATATGATTTATGCTACATTCGACAATTATAGATGTAATTAAATACTACCTCCGTCCCATAATGGATGTCTCGTTTTAATTTTACACGACTATTAATAAAGTGGTTGAAAAGTTAAAAATGCGGTTGAGATTTGAGAGAAATGAGGTAAAATGATATTGACCACAAATTTCTTCCCAAGAAGGATAACATGACTTTCATTTTGGGACAACCCAAAAAGGAAAATAAAACGACCAAAATGGAACGGAGGAGTATTAATATCTGAACTATTGGCTATTGTGTGCATTAGAGGCTTTCTATAGAACTCAACTTTGAGATGGTACATTGAAATTGGTAATTGAGTGATAAAAGTGTGACAACAAATAAGTAAATGTTTTTAGAAAAAAATAAATTGCATTAAAGGTATGCGTTTTTTACTTTTGTTCATACAAAATGTTTTTTACGGAGTAATATGTAAGAAATAACTATGAGATTATAACTATTAATCAAATTTTTATAAATAAACTTTATTTCGGTAATAATTTAGAAAAAAATCATTTTACAAAGTATATTGTGATTATTGAAGATGTGTCGTAGACACACAAAGATGTACGCATATTCACCATGTATATTTATACGGAGTATTCAATATTGGGTAACCCAGTCATAATAATAATAGCATATCTAGTATTCTAGCCATTTATATAGCATAGTAAAAGAAGTTAATAAAGTGGGAATACTTATTCGAGGTTTTCAAAAAATATCACTAAAATAATATATATTCGTAAAGATGTGGTTACGAGTTATTATACACTACAAAAAACAGTCCGTTTATCACAGATTTTTGTCACGGATACAGGCTGTGAAAAAGTTGTCACGGGCTTTGTCACGGAATTGTCACGAAAAAGTTTGTCACGGAAAAATCTGTGATTAAATCCGTGACAAATTGCCTCCGGTGACCGGCAATTGACTTCGACCAAAATTTATATACTTCCGGGCACTTTGTCACGGATTGAGCCGCGACAAATCTGTGACAAAACTCAAAAAAATTTGTCACGGATCCGTCCGTGACAATTTCCATGACAAAACTCAATAATTGATAATCCAGAGGTCACCTAATTAATGTTGTACGAAAAGGTGTTTGTCACAGATTTATCCGTGACAAAAATTCCTATATATCACAGCATGGTTTCAGACGAGTGATATCATTCAGAATTTAATCAGAGTATAATACAATATCTGTTGAAAGATTGAAGAATGTAATCTATCAGTTTATAATTTTCCCTGTTTATGCACATAAGGTATGTCATTTGAATTACATATTTTTCTCAATAAGTATTAATTTTTTCATTTTAAATAATTAAAATTATTAAATTAGTGAGATTGTTAATTTATTAACAATATACTCGTGATTAACTGTAAACGTAATTTAGTTAATTTAAATATAAATTTAAATACTAAGGAGTAATATTTAAGAAATAACTATGAGATTATAACTATTAATCAAATTTTTATAAATAAACTTTATTTCGGTAATAATTTAGAAAAAACTCATTTTATAAAGTATATTGTGATTATTGAAGATGTGTCGTACACACACAAAGATGTACGCATATTCACCATGTATATTTATATTCAATATTGGGTAACCCAGTCATAATTATAATAATAGCATATCTAGTATTCTAGCCATTTATATAGCATATGTAAAAGAAGTTAATAAAGTGGGAATACTTGTTCAAGTTTTCTAAAAATATCACTAAAATAATATATATTCGTAAAGATGTGGTTACGAGTTATTATAATTTAGTATCAAAAGATATCATTGATTAAAATTGATTGAAATTGACTGAGAAAAGTCAATTTGTCGAACTTTTTCGTGATGGAAGGAATATTTTTTGCGTGAAGCCGTCAAGCAGTGGCCTTTAATTTGTCTTTAAACTCCTTGCAATTAAATAAATCAACGGCACAAAATCACACAATTACTAATTTCTTGTTCCATATATGATAATGAGAGGAGTTGAACCTTTTTGAGACGGAAAGGAGTATTTTGTTGCGTCAAGCCGTCAAGCACCAGCCTTTTGTTTTTAAACTCCTTGCAATTAAATATATGAACGGCATAAAATTACACAATTACTCCGTACTAATTTCTTGTTCAGAGTTCAGAGTTGTCAAAGTTTTAGACGGTCGAGATAATACGGAGTATATTTTAGTCAACTATTCAGTTTTTTCTTTAGTTCAAACAGCCTGAGCTAAAACAAATCTTAAAATCACAAAAAATTACCCAAAATAGGAGCAAATGACATTTGGAATTCCAAAAATAGGACTAGTATATTTTTTTCCCGAAATAGAAGTTATTACTGTCATGTATGAAAAATACTGTCATGATTGAAAAATACTATCATTAATTATAATAAATACTATCAGAATAAAAAATATTCTGCCGACTTTACCTATATTATCAAATGGGTTCTAAATTATTACTCCCTCCGACCCTTAATTAACTTTACATTCCACATTTCACGGTTTCCAACGTTTGATGTTTGACCATTGATATGTAAAAATATACTTATAAAACTTATAATACACCAACATTTCAATAATATATAGGAAAATGAAGAATTCAAATTATTTTGATATTATAAAATAATACGGTTTTAGTTTACAAAGTTTGACTCAAAAAGTCAAAGTGTAAACTTAAATACGGGATGGAGGGAGTATATATAAGAGCATATACGCATCTAACATAAAGACATACGGAGTATACATTAATACACATACATTTATGAATATATATATATATATATATATATATATATATATATATATATATATATATATATATATATATATATATATACACACACACACACACTTTTCGATATATATAGGACTCGTTCCTTAAATTGAACTAATGAAAACATAGTTAAATGTACTCCTATAAATTTAATTGACCACCATGTGTTTTCAATTAGATGAGGTAAGTCATATTTTGATAATAAAGTATAAATACTCCTATATAAATATTTGTCTATGTTTTACTTCTATTTGAAACAATTTCTTTTATCTCCTCATTCTATGTAGTTATATCGCAAGAAATAGAAATGGGAATTAACAATAAAGAAGAGGCCGTTTGGCAACACTATTTTTCATTTTATCAAACTTATCAGCCAACTTTTTCACCAAACACGTAACTTTTGCTTTCGCGAGCTGAATTCAGGAGCGGATGTACTGTTGTTCAAGAGTGTTCAGGTGAACACCCAAAAAAATCATTTTTTCATATGAAAAAAGCGTCGTTGGTTAGTGTCTTTAGAAATTCCAACTTCATCGTATCTCCCTCGCTCAGAATTGGAATCTAGCCAAATTCTTTCGTCCAGATTGCTCTCTCCACTGCCCTAGCCTAGTTGCAGTCGTTCTATTGCATCTCTCTCAACTAATGATTCATTTCCCACTGCTTTCCTTGCGGTTGAATGGTTAATTCAGAACTAATATTGAGAAAATATTGGTATTTGGTAGATATATTGGTTGGTAGTGTCTTAGTGAATTCTATAGAAATTGAAGATCGGTTGCAACTTTTGTTCGTTGTCCATAGATAATGAATTGAAGGAGTAGCAGATGGGTAGTGTCATTTGTTGAGGTGTGGTGTCTCTCTATGTTACTTTATTACTCCCCTGTCCTGAATTGAATTGTAAACTTTGACTGAAGCAAGGATTAATGAATGACAATTAATGATGCTTACTTTTTGCACTTTTACCTCTTCCTAAACGGTGTTACCAAACGGGGTCACACGCGGCGGGAGCCCGGAAGTGACATACCAAAATAAGAAATTTTATAAGGGTAAATTCTAAGGGTAAATTTGTCACTTTCTTCTTATTTATATACCTAAAATAGAAAATGGAAAAAACTTTTTGGGATAACCAAAATAAGAAATTTTGCAAATCAAATTGGTACGGAGGAAGTAGATTATTGGTGTGGCAGTGTAATTTTTGTTTAGTATAATGACGTTATTTTGCTTAAATTTTTGGGTGAGGTTGTATGATTTTTTTTGATCAATTTAGTTTTCGTATGAATTTTATTTTGGTACATTTATTTGTGTTAATAGTAATGTCTATTTTTTTTCTTAAAAAAAATTACTCTATTTCGAACACCCAAAACGTAAAGCCTAGATCCACCACTGACTGAATTGTGTTATAATCAGAAAAAGTAAAGTTGGAGTTACTTTTCTGGCTGAAGTTACTGTAGATGACCATTTTAGCTATTTTTTACATATAATTTTTTCTTTATTTTATTAATAAAATATATTTTAAATTTTTTTCTTAAATCAACAAAATCAGCCACTTCAACTAGAACTTCATAAATTTCACCAGAATCAGCCAAATCAGCTGATTTTCGTGTTCCTGAACGGGCCGGAAGCCCGGAAGTGTGGTTGCAAGTTGCAATTGCATGCGTGTAAATGGTGTTCCAAATGGCCATATCCGTCACTTCGACATACACTTATAAATCAACTAATTTATTGAAGCATATTACACAAATCTTGCACTAGCTAGTTAGAATCCTACAAGTGTTTCTATATTCGATAACTAAATAAAAATCGTTACCTTGAAAAATGGCAAATTACAATATGAAGACATTTTTTATCTTCATTATTTGCCCATTTTTACAAGTAATTTTCGTATTTTCATCTTCCATTTGCGGCTTTACTCTGAATGAAGACGGCTTCCCAGATTGGGTGAGGCTAAAAAACAGGAAACACGGATTATCGAAACGGACGTCGACGTCGCCGTCACCGTCACCGTCAACCTTATATGATGATGGGGCAGCAGATATCGTAGTGGCGAAAGATGGGTCGGGGAATTATAAAACAGTGAAAGAAGCAGTAGCGAACATGCCTAAGAAAAGTGGGAGAAGTGTGATTTATGTGAAAGCAGGGGTGTACGATGAGAACGTTAACGTTAATGTTAACGACGTCACGTTAGTTGGTGATGGAATTGGGAAGACAATTATCACAGGAAATAAAAGCAATGGGACTGGCTCCTCAACCTTCAATTCAGCTACTTTTGGTAATAATATAATAAAACACTTCATTTATTACAGGTCATGATTGTGAGGTACCAATCCAAAAATGTAAGCTCGGATGAGCTAAATAGTAATTAACCAAGGAAAAATCGATAGTAATAATCCCAATTATCGGTGATCCGTTCATAATAATCTCAACTATCGATTACCAGTATTTAAGAATAATCCCAACTTTAAGCAACTTCCGTCAATACTGATCCGACGTGATTTACTATAAATAAATTTATATAGTTTCTAAAGTGGATGAAAAGAGATATAACATGAAAAGAGATATAACAATTATATAGTTTATATAGTTTCTAAATTTATATTAGTATTGGACTATGTGTACTAGTTTTTTAGACCAAGCGTTAGAGGAGTTTCAGATAAACGTGACAGAAACTTTCTGTATGGAGTATCTAACTCGAGATCTCCCGTATAAAAGAGTGAGTGAGTGAGAGTAATGTTTCAATAAACATTACTATTGAAACACTTCCTCAATAGTAATGTCAAATTATATTGGCAGTATTATCATGCATAGTGATGATTTTAAGGAAAATGTCGATAATTATTAATAAAAAGTACTCTCTTCGTCTTATAAAATTTTTCTCACTTTCCTTTTTAAGTCGTCCCAAAAAATTCTTTTCACTTACCATTTTTGACAATTTGTGTGATTCACATTCATTTCACCTTTTTCTTACACAATCACAACCACACATTTTCACTTTATTCCACTTCCTTAATCTCCGTGCCAAATCAAAGTGGGAAGAATTTTCTGGGACGGAGGAAGTATAACTTTAATTTATAGCGAGTAAAACGTCCTCAAGATGAATCCGTGAAAGAGTATGGCGTGGTGTTACTTAAATTGTTAACATTATTTTATTTTTTGTAAGAGTAAATAAATACTCCTTCCGGTCCCAAATGAAATTCACACTTTCCTTTTTGGGTAAATTCAAAATAAATTTCACACTTCTTCTCCCTTCCTTATTTGACAAATTATCTACATCAAAACAGTGCAAAACAGTGCCAAATAATGTCAAAAAGTGTCATAACAGTGTGCTCTACAGTAAAGTTAAATTTATTTGCTTAATTTGTGTGAATTCAATGTGTGAATTTCATTTGGTACGGAAGGGAGTAAAGAAATGAGTATTTTTTGTGCATGACCCATCATGTTCAATTATGCATAATGGTTTCCACCTATCTCACTAACGTAAAATAAATACTAGTAGTTGATTACGTAGAACCGATCGAATTTGCTCTTTTAAAATTCACATTACCTTTTAGTTTGATTTAAATTTTTAATTTTTAAATACATAATACTCCGCCACTCCGGTAATAAATTAAGATTTTATTGATTCCAATTAGTTTGGTTTTATTCGAAGTTTTTATTTCAAAATGTTATCAAACTCACACCAAATTGTTTAGATTTCATTTAATTTGATTTGATGTAGTCTGATTTGGTTAAATCGAAACCATATACTCATCAATCTAATGCTCCCTGAGCTGCCTCCCAGCTACTTCGAGTATATATTGGTAATCGAAACCTTCAATTTACTTGATGTTTTGGTGTAAATACATTTTTGGTGATTAAATCGATTATGATGAACAAATTGAGGTCGGAATATGGTCCCGTATCATTTTGTTGCATAGTTGAATCAAGGGTATAGTCGAGCCCGGGTTCGAGTGCAATGAGCCGGTATAAAGAATTTTTTGGACAATGTTTTGTTAGAGGCCTCAAATGTGGCATTTTATTAACTACGGAGTTGCAAATTGAGTAGTCAAATGCTGTAGCATAACACATTTTTCCAAATAAAATGATATGGAGTGTTATTTTCTAACGTATGAAACGTATATGTGCTTCAATTCATTTACTTTTTCATTGGATTTCATGCACTTTATTAGCCGTGGATGGATCCGGATTTATTGCTCGAGGCATAACATTCCGAAACACCGCCGGAGTTTCAAACGGACAGGCCATCGCCGTCCGATGCTACTCCGATTTCGCAGTGTTTTATCAATGCAGCATTGAAGGATATCAAGACACTCTCTTCTACCGCTCCGACCATCAATTCTACCGTGAATGCGACATCTACGGCACCGTTGACTTCATCTTCGGCGCCGGCGTAGCGGTGTTCCAGAACTGCAACATCTACGTGCGAAACCCCGGGCCGAACAAGGTCAACACAATAACCGCCGATGGTCGGGACGACAAAAACAAGGTCGGCGGAATATCTTTCCAAAACTGCGCAGTCACAGCGGCGCCGGACGTGAAGTTCTCCGATCTGGCCTCGGTCAAGACGTATCTGGGCCGGCCTTGGCGGAATTATGCGACGACCGTCTTTATGCAGACGTTCCTGGATGGCTTGATTGATCCGGCGGGGTGGCTGTCGTGGGATGCTCCGCTGGACACGGTGTACTACGGCGAGTATGAGAACTATGGGATGGGGGCGTCCACGGCCCGAAGGGTCAGCTGGGGTGGTTATCATGTGATCAACGACACGGCGGAGGCTTCTAAGTTCACGGTGGAAAAGTTCATCGATGCTGACTCTTGGTTACCGGCCGTAAGTGTTCCTTACACTTCCGGTCTCTCATAAGTAATAAATAAATTGTTCCAAATATGATTAAACTAAACACAAATTGTACAAATAGTACTATTTATATTTTACTCAAAATATGAATGATTTGATCTTATTAAAAGTTCTTCAACTAGAAGTGAATGATTGAGTCTAATTGCACGGTGGAGACGTGGGATCTCCAAAATTGTGTAAAATCATTTAAATAAGGATAACGTTAATTTATTTCTTAATATTTATGTGGATATCTCTCATGCCACATGTGCATCATGCACATTGTAGCATTGAAGATGCTTTATGTTTTAGAAACAAATTTCTAAACAGGAGTGAAAACGTTTGAAATTCTAAAACAGGACATTTGCGTTTTTATTCCCCTAATATGAATAATTAATGCCAATCTGTTATAATATTGTCATGTTTAAATCCTAGTAATGAAAAAACTTGATACTACTTAGTATTTACTGTTATTTCAGGAATAAAAATGTGTCATTCCCATTTTGAAATTTACACATTTTTACTCATGTTTAGGATAATTTTCCAATATTTTAGTCTTATTGAAGGAATTTTCTATAATTAAAACTCATCATTACTCGTTAACCTTTCCCTGTTTAATTATACGTCGTAAATAAGAGTTTTAATTAAAACAGAGAATAGTTTATCGTGAGTGCCTTTCCAAACAAATTGTCGTGAAGGCGTGATCAATTGATGATGGTTACGATGGACAGAAATTTTTTAGTCCAAACTAAAACGGTCATTTCATCTACTCTATGGACGGACCGGCCGGATGGTTACGACTTACAATGTGTCAAAGTTTGTTGTTTGTTTTGTTAGCTTATTGAGATTTGAGAGTGATTGAACTTACCCACATTTTTCACTTTAAAATCACACCGATGTAATAGTCTACTCCATGTGTCTTCACACTCTGATCTTACAGAATCATAAAGAAGTAGGTCACGGTATGATCTCAATCGATTTGTGAGTGAGGTGATTCAAGACCTAGTTCGCACAAAGAACCACCACATTGGAAGAAACTTCCATATTACCACCGTGAAAAATCCAATAACCTGACTCAACCATCATTGAGCTATCGGTTCGGGTCTTCAAAAATCACACCAATTGTAGGCACTAGGCACACAACACACAACATAGAGCAATTATGCTACGGGAGTACAAATTAAGAACATCATATAACATCCCTAGGAAAGTAGGAAATGACCATTACACATACCTCTTCTACCCAAGAATATTATTACATCAACAATTAAATTAAAAAAAACATCCACCACCGAGCAACAAAATGATACACTGAAAGCTTAATTAATTAACTAGTTACGGAGCAAAAGATCAGACAATAGATCTTCTACGTACTAATAATTAATTATTTATTTGACTAGGGTAGCGGGTGAGATTAATTAATTATTAATTAATTACTAATAATAATAATGGGTAGGTAATTAATTAACATTGGGCAGGAAGGGTGAGGTTGCACTTGGGTGGAAGGGCGAGGGCAAGGTCAGGGTCAATTCCAAGGAGGGACATCATCATCGGGTTGCTCTTCTTCTGGTTGCACAGGCACGGCAAGTCCGCCCCAGACAGGGAGCTGCAGCAGGCCGCCGATGGCTCCACCGGCGGCTGAGTCACCGCCGGCTTACATGCACTGAGCCCATCCTCCGTCATATTGCAGAAGCTGTAGCAATCTCCTTGTTGGAGCATGATTAAAGAAGTGGCAAGGAGAAGGAAGCACATCTTGAGAATAAGGGTAGCAGCCATTCCTCTTTTCTTTTTTTAATGTTTCTAATAAGGCTCCACATTCAAATATGTAAGGTGGGCTTTTAGATTGCTGTGTGGATAGGTCTATATAAGGTGGAACTGACCAGTGACCACCCCACATGTCCTACACCCCCAACTTGATAGAAGAGAGGTCACGGGTGGTGTTTGGACACCGCAAACGGCTTGTGTACGTGGTTATCGGATGATTGCATTTTGAGGGTGTTTTCTTATATCAGAGGAAAAACTAATATCTAAAGCAAAATAGCGGGATTTTCCCTACCATTTCTAAGAATGATGGATTCGGAAATGGCAATTCCTAAAGCAATGATGGGCATGGGTTCGAATCCCGCAGCGACCGGGTGGAGGTCACAGAATCTAAAATAACGTTGAGCCTCTGGTGCGCACGGGTGTATGGACCTACTGCCTTTGTGCGGATCTGGTGGGAGGACTCTTGGGATGGGAGATTCCACTTTTTGGATCAATGGGCAGGGGTTGGTTGGGTGGGAGGGGTAGGGGCAAGGTGAATGCAAAATCCCTTTTTTTCTTTGAAGTGATGTAACTTTTTTATTTTTATTCCGAATTTTATAAAAAATATACCCAAATTCATAATTTTTTATGATCTTTCTAATGACATCAATATTCCATATCTAAAGTTTAATTTTTTTTTGACATTTTTGATAGTATAAAGTTTTTGGATCAAAATTTTTTCTTACTTAAATTGATTCAAGTGCTAAAATTAAGATCTCATTGTTACAATATCTTTTTTAGATGTTTCAATTATTTTTAAAACATGGTTTTAATTTGAGTATTTGGATCTATAAAAAAACTAATATACAAAGCTCTTGCAGTTCAAACTTCATTTTTTTAAAACTTTACATATGCAATGCAATATTGATGCTATATTAAAAATTTTAAAAAGTTATGAATTTTGATATATTTTTTTAAGAATTTGAGTACAAATAAAAAGTTAAAACATTTTAAAGAAAAATGGAATTTTATTTTATACCTAACCCCCACCCTACCTCTCTAACCAACTACCCATGCCTCTCATTCCTAATTTGCATTTCCAAATCCCGTTTTTTGGTACCCTAAGGTGGACTCCCGTGATTTTGCATTCAATGTTGAAAACTCCCGTTATTTGAGAATTTTCTCGCATTTTGAAGCACAATTTTGTTTCATTTCATGCTTTTTGCTGATTTTGAGATCATGTTTTTACTTTGGACCCGAATTTTCTAATCTGATTTGATCTGAACTGGTCTGGTATGATTTGGTCTGAATCGGTCTAGTCTGATAAATATGTGATTGTATTTTATATCTATCCATGGTTAGTTGAGTTCATGAATGTTTATTCATTTTAAAAACTAGTTACAAATATTTTAATCATACAAGAAATGATTAACTGAGTAAAATGATACCGATTAAATATATTGTGTGTCGGACACTACAAAAACATTGTGAAATAGCGACGGATGCTTTCCGACGGAAAAAACCGTCGGTAATTACCGACGGATTTCCCGACGGAATACCGACGGATTTTTGAACCTACCGTCGCTTTTCCGCCACTGAAATGGCTGGAAATATTCCGTCAGTGAGTCGTCCGTAATTCGTCGCAACCTCATTTGGTTGTTTTATAATTCGTAGCTATTCCGTCGAAAACATCTGCAACGCCATATATCTTTATAAGCTACCTTCCATATGAACAAATACATATGTCGAAAATGTTTAGATCAGACAGAAGTTGGATGTATGAGCGATGCAATCCATTAACAAAAAATGTTTCTGATAAATTTATTAGCGGTGTAAAGAGTTTTATTGAATTCGCTGTTGTTCATCATGAATATATGAGTGGAGAAGAAATTCGATGTCCATGTCGAAAATGCACTAATCGACGTTTCCATGATGTTGAAACTGTGAAGCTTCATCTATATCGACATGGATTCGTTGCTGATTATAGTATTTGGACCTCTCATGGTGAAACGGTACAATTTGAATCACCACAAATTGTCTCTCAAGGTCATACTGATTCGGTCAATATATCTTCAGTTTCTCGAACTCATGAAGACATACCGTGGGATGAAAGAATGCTTGGAGATATTTTTGCAGGATATGTGGAGCAACCATCTACCACAAACTCTATTCCAGAAACCACAGATGATACTTACATTGATGGATCACCAAATGTAAATGAAGTATCATATTTGGCGGACCAATTCCATAATGTTCTAGAGGCTGCAGATCAACCTTTGTATGAAGGATGTCTAGAAGGCTCTCAATTACAGTTCGTTACTGAGGTAATGAGTATAAAATCTGATTTTAATGTTCCTCAGGATGAAGTAAATAGGTGGTTAGAACTATTTGGTCGATACTTACCTCGTGAAAACACGGCCCCACGTAATTACTATGAGACCAAAAAACTTGTTTCAAAGTTGGGCCTTCCCGTGATTAATATTGATGTTTGTCCAAATGGGTGTATGTTATTTTGGAAGGGCAATAAAGAGTTAACACACTGTTCTTTTTGCGGTGCAAATCGGTATAAGTTGGAGGAGGAAGAACAATGTAAAACAAAAAAAAAAGAAATGGACTGCTGTGTCTGTGTTGAGATATTTGCCCTTAACACCAAGGTTGCAAAGGTTGTACGCATCACGTCAAACAGCTGAAGCGATGAGGTGGCATGCCACACATGAGGCAATCGAGACTATAATGGGTCATCCTTGTGATAGTGAAGCATGGAAACACATCAACAATACATATCCGGGATTTGCAGCTGAGCCTCGAAATGTTCGCCTTGGTTTATGTTCTGATGGTTTTGCAGCCCATGGACAATATGGTGCATCGTACTCTTGTTGGCCCGTCATTCTTACGACGTACAACTTGCCCCCCGGTATGTGCATGAAATATCCTTTCATGTTTTTGTCTCTCATTATTCCTGGACCAATATGCCCAAAAATGAAAATTGATATATATCTGCAACCACTAGTTGATGAACTCCAACATTTGTGGGATGAGGGTACCGTTACATATGACATTGTAGATAATGTCACGTTTTCCATGCGTGCCATTTTAATGTGGACAATTAGCGACTTTCCAGCGTATGGGATGTTGTCAGGTTGGAGCACAGCAGGACTTTTAGGTTGCCCTATTTGTATGGAGAACAACAAAGCAACGTGGCTTAAGAATGGGCGTAAGCCTTGTTACTTTGACTGTCATAGAAAATTCCTACCACGACAACACCCATATCGTAAGGACATTCATTCATTTAAAATGGGAAAAGAAGAACTTAGTCTTCGTCCATCTAGATTGATTGGCCTTCAACTATTTTCTAGTGTAGCTATGATACCAACCGCTATTCAGGATCCCAATGAACTACCACCTGGTTATGGCATTGATCACAAATGGACAAAAAAGAGCATATTTTGGCAACTCCCATATTGGGGAAGTTTATTAGTTAGACATAATTTAGATGTTATGCACATTAAAAAGAATGTGTTTGACAATTTATTTTATACTCTAATGAACGACAAAGAAAGAACAAAAGACAATTTGAAAGCTAGAAAAGATGTTGCATTGTATTGTGATCGGCCTGGTATTGGAGTTCCAACGGATTACGTTGACAAAATCAGTAAGGCTGTGTACACTGTAACCACTGCCCAAAAAAAGATCATCCTAGCTTGGGTTGCTTCAATAAGATTCCCGGATGGGTACACATCAAATTTTCGAAGATGCATTAGTGCAGATGGTTTAAGTTTAATACACATGAAGAGCCACGATTGTCATGTTTTCATGCAACGCCTAATTCCAATTGCATTTCGGGACATTCTACCCGGTACAGTGTGGCAGTTAGTTGTTGAATTAAGTCAGTTTTTTCAAACTCTATGCACATGAGTTGTGGATGTCGAAATTCTTCGACGATTAGAAAGGACTGTCGTTGTACTTCTTTGCAACATGGAAAAAATTCTTTCGCCGGGATTCTTTGATGTGAGTGAGCATTTAATCATCCACTTACCTTATGAAGCAAGAGTATGCGGTCCTCCACAATATCGATGTATGTACATGTTTGAGAGGTATGCATTCCTACAAACTTATTTGAATAAAATCTTACATATTATGAGATCCACATGTATTATATAAAATTCTTGTAGGTTTCTCGGTACTCTCAAGAAAAAAAATCACAAATAAGGCCCACATTGAAGCATCAATTTGTAATGCATATATGTACGAAGAGCTATCAACATTTGCGTCCTATTACTTCGATTCCTCCATACGATCGAAACGCATGCGTCCTTCTCGAAATGATGTTGGTTCCTCATCGTCTAGTGCGATGGCATTCTCAATTTTCAATCAACCAGGTCATGGAAATGGAAAGTTTAGGAAACGGTTTGTTGTTGGTGAAGAATTAAAAGTTGCTTATACATATATCTTGCTTAACTGTCCTGAAGTTCGACCATATTACGAGTATGTTTTATTTTTTAATTAAATTAGTTAGTGGTAGTGATTATTTAGCACAAATGAACATTTGCAATTATATATGTTTATATAGGTTGTTCGCAAATTTTCTTCAATCACAGGGTCATGCTAACATTGACCAGATTATTACAAACGAGTTTTCCTCTTGGTTCACTGCATATGTAAGATGACACAATCACCATCTACAACTAATTGTTCATTTATTATGCAATATTATCACCATCTACTTGCATTGTAGGTGATGAATCCTTACAATGGAGTTTCTGATTCGTTCATAAAAGCTTTGGCGAATGGAATATCCTCACGTGCAAAAGCATGGCGTGCATATGTGCTGCAAGCGTAATCCAAGGCGGGAACAGTTATTATTGCCACAAGATTCCATTGTTATATATATAGATTGCTAACATATATGGTAGGTTATATTTGATTGTGTACTTATTAATTAAGTTATTCTATACATTATAATTAGGAAAAACTTAAGGCTGGGGCAGCAGAAATCACACAGACACAAGGGCCAGGCACAATAGTTGATAAAAATGCATTGTTTTTGAAAGTTGTGCAACCGAACCGGGGAAGGCTCATGGGAGTGGGCTCTCTTGCCCCACATTTGTTGAGCACTGGGTCTTTGAACCCGACACATTTTCGCTCTTCTAAGCAAGACCGCATTGATAAACTCACGGAGCAGGTGGAGAGTTGTCAAGCAGAAATGAAGCTATTGCGGGAACAAATAAAAATACAAGGGAGTAATACAGGGACTTCATCTATGAACCCATTCCCAATGTTTGCATATGGTCAGCCTTCTCCTGGGAATGGACAACAGATGCCTTACATGTTTGTCCAACAACCACAAGCTACTTTTCCTCAACAAAGTCAATCTGCCTTTCCTACGCCTCCAATGTTTCCAGATTATTTCATGGCGGGTCAACCATTAATGCAACCTGCAGCTGTCCCATTTGTCCCTCTTCACAACACAAATAATACTCTCTCCCAAGAAGACAATAACACTTTTATCGATAATTTACTTGGTAGCGGAGGGTTTAATAACGAGGGTGAAGGACAACAATGAAGACTTGTAGTAATTGTTCACTATGTGCAATTTCTTTTAATGTCCTTGACATTTTGTTTGTTTTGGAATATTTATGTAGGATGTTGCACTTTTAAATTACTTGTTTTTGTTAAGCTCTAATGCATACCATTATGAGGTTTTTGGAATGAATACTTTTGTGAAATGGAAGTTCGCAGTATGATTTTGAATGATGTTGTGAATGGTATTATGCAAAACTTGTTTGTGAATGGTATTCTGGAAAGGGTGTTGTTTGTAAATGAGTCTGATTTGAAAACAGTATGAGGATAAGAAGTATAGTGTTGTTTTTGCAAATTCAAAAGTAGCGACAGAATAAGCCGTCAGCAACAATGAAACAATTTTAATATGGCCGGACTTTTTCCGACGGAACTATCCGTCGGTAATTTAATAATAATTTTTTTTAAATCACCGACGGAAATAACCGTTGGTAATTGAGAGGCACGTGTACACATTCAAAAACCCACACATACCAATTTGCGATCGTATTTTCCTTCGCTATCACCGACGGATATTTCCGTCCCTAATTCGTAGGTACTTTTTGAAATCCGTCGCTTAGATCCGTCGTTGGGTTTACCAACCACGCTATTTCGGCGAAAAGTATCCGTTGGAAAGCCGTCGGTGAATTTTGTACCGACGGTTATTTGAACTTATACCGTGGCTATCTCCGTCGCTATTCCCTCTATTTTTTGTAGTGGGACCCTACATATGGGGATGGACTAACTAGTATATTCTTGAACCACAGTAAATTAATTAAAATCCCAAGGATAAGGAAATGGATTACATATGAACGTGTGGGCCGAATAAAAGGTGAAGGGTTAACACGAGAGACTATTCGAGCCATTTACTAATAATAGAAATGTAAAGGGATTGGAGCCCGAGATATTGGAGAGGACTATCCAATACATTTTAGGATCGACCTATTAAGGTCTACTGGTCTAAAATAATATAAATAAATGAATAAAATTCATTTGAGCTGGACCAAGATAGACTGAGTAACCGAAGTGGTATTCGAGCCCAAGTTACCAAAAATAGCAGATATAAGGGTGGAGGGCTTGCTACACTTTAATTGAGGGTAGCCCATACAATATAGAGTCCAAGTAAAATGGAGAGAAGCCTAAATAATACATTGGGTCGGAATAAATTAAAAAGGACAGCCCATGAAACCAACCCAAATTAAATTGGCCCAACTTTCTAATTATAGAAAGGATAAGGGGTAGGCTATCCTCCTCTCATTTTGAGAAGCAACCTACGCCACTTAGAGAGGGAAGAGAGCTCACAAGGACCTTCTCACATTCTTTGAGCAAGGAGGAAGATGGAAAGGGATTCCGGGAAGAATAGAGCTCGTTTCTAGGTAACCGAATGCTATTCCCGTTCAAACTAGTTAATTAATATATTTAGTGAATATGATTTTGAATAAATCATATGTTGGATTAATGAGGATGTTCTACACGTTTAAAAGTGTAGAAAAATGATATAAAGTGTTGGTATTTAACTTAGAAGAGTTGTGGAATCGATAAGAATCGAAATCACCGGAAACCGCCATTACTAAGAGTTGTTTTCGTGCTGCTAGACCCGAAAGCCGGGAAGCTTTTGCAAAAGCCGGGCGGCTTTTTCCCTCGGCCAGCCAAGTCCATTTCGGATCATTCCCGATCGAAGGTTTAACGACGGGGCTTCAATAGGAAGGCTTGCTGGACGTATTTAAGGTGAGGATGACTGACTATATCGTTTATAATTTGTGAGTTGAGCATGAGATTACCTAAGTAATCTAAATATGATTTTGATGGAATTAAATGATATATTTGAATGTGAATAAGGTATGTTTGCTATTTGGCCATGAAAATTGACATATGATTGCACAAAGGTGAATAAGCATAAGACTATGCATGAAGGAAGGAATCCTTGAAATATATGATTATTGAATTTATACTAAAGGATTAGAATCATATAAATAAATGTTGATAAATGTGTGATTTCCATATGATTTAAAAAGGAATATGTGGATATCTATGTTGATAGGCAAAGTGATTAAATGTGAAGTAAAGCATCCTTGAGTTATTGCGATGGGCAAATTGATATGAGTCCATAGGGATAAATTGTATCCTATCTAGAATATTGCATAAGATAGACATGAGTTTAGAATGAGTGAGGAACTATAGTCATGCTCAAAGGGAAAGGTGGTGTCTACCTAGAACTATATGAAGGCAACCCGGGGAGTCTTGATGAAGACTAGCCCGAGGTTGAAAGATTATGATTACCCGAATACAACAAGTATTGTTGAGGTTGAAGCCACGGCTAAACAAAGATATAGAAGCTATGTGGTATATTCAGGGTGTGTAAGCCCTAGTCGAATAAAGGTTATATTCGGAGTGTGTAAGCCCTACATGAGTAAAGATTATACGAGGTGTGTAAGCCCTAAACGAATAAAAGATATTACACGGGGTGTGTAAGCCCTACATGAGTAATGTTTATACGGGGTGTGTAAGCCCTAAACGAATAAGTATTACGCGGGGTGTGTAAGCCCTGAATGATTGAGTATTATATGGGGTGTGTAAGCCCTAAACGAATGAAGCATATACGGGGTGTGTAAGCCCTAAACGAATCTAAGATATTATATTGGGTGTGTAAGCCTAAAACGAAGGAATACAACCGTAGGGTGTGTAGGTCCAATATGGATGAGTACAAAGAATAAAACGTGTAACCCTTTCGATGGAATTGGGTTTAGATTAGGGGTGAGGTAACCTCTCGAAGTTGCTATTTGCAAACATAGGTCAAGGGCTATTTAAAGGGAATTGTTTTGAATTATAAATGGGCCTACCGGTCAGCTATTTGAATTGTATGTGTGTGTGTGTATATATATATATATATATATACATATATATATGTATACATATATACATACATACATATATATATACATATATACATACATATATATATATATATATACATATATATATATATATACATATATATATGTATACATATATATATGTATATATAGGGGGGAGATCCCATGCTAACTAGGCTTCCAGTGCAAACTACAAACTAATGTCAGCCGTTGGATTGAAGGAAACAGATAGCTTTCAGATTGGGATGCATCATTAAATTATGGTCTCACACACAGGGAATTAAAAACGTAACCAACAACTTCTACACGCGCATTTAATTGTGGAGGTTAGGGAAGTCATTTCCCAAACAAAAAAGGAAGTCGGGAAAATCAAACTGTCGATTAAGTTTGGCAAACCCTGGTTTCACGATTCAAAGCCACGATTAACAACAACTGAAAACACTCTTCTTCTTCCTCTGCAACTACCATCGAATTTTGAATCTGAAGCAAGGAATTTGTCAACGTTTCCACCTAATCCGAGTTCAGCGAAGGCAAGGCGAGTGACGATAGGAGGCCATGGCTTCGCTGCAAATGGAACACCTGTTGCGTGAGATCGAAAACGAACTTGAAGAAGAAGGTACTTGTGTTACTCCTTGGTCTGTTCGATATGGTTGCATGTTTACTTCGAGTACTTAACTGCATCTTACTAACAAATGTGTAATGAATAATGGCTGATTACAAGTTGGAATTGCAATATAGAGTCGGATATAGTTGTAAAACTCTGTTATTGAACACTTTTTTATGCATAATGTCAGATTAATGTATGTCATGGTTATTTGATGCAAGTGTTTTGCTTACGACATGAAACACTGCCATATCAATAATGCATGATTTTCATTGAATACGAAGTTAGAGGTAGAAGGTTTTTTACATGCTAGTGTGAATGAAGTTAGGTGCAACAGGATTGAAAATGAGGAATGTAGATCGATTATATATACATTGAAAGACTTCATGCAAGAGTTGTAGTTGTATGATGCAAGGAGTTAGGTAATTGCAATTGGCATGTGAAACTGTTTTAAGATGCAGTAGTAAGTTTTTTAAGATGCATGGTTTGTGTTAGTTTGATTGGAAGTTTAAAGTGAAGTAAGATGCAGTAGTTTTATGATGAATAATCTGTGATTAGATGAGGATATACATTGTATTGTTGTAATTTTAGCTGAAATAGATTTCAAACAAAATTAGATGAAAGTTGTTTATATGCAACATGATTGTGATTTTAAAAAGTCTCGGTGCAACATGTGTAGTTGTAAGATGCATTTGTTGTGCTAATTGCACTTTGCATTAATATTAATGTCAAGGTGCAGAACGTCAGGTCAGTCTTCTGAGATGAATAATTGTAATGAATTTGTCTTGTGTTTGTGATTCACATAGATGCATAATTATATGCTACAAGATGCATTAAAAGTTAACTGCAAATGAAAGTGTGAAAATAGTGTGATGCATATTAGTGGTTCAATATTCACATAAATTAGATGCAATATGTGGAAGTTTAAGATGCAGTAGTTGTGTTTATTGTAGTTGGAATTCAAAAAAAATTGAGAATGCATAATTAATATGTGTAAGATGTATAAGTTTAAGAGACAATATGCAGTTTTTTTTATGAATATGACTTGTGCTTGTGAGTTACATAGATGCACTTTTATATGGCACAAGATGCATTTAATGAAGCAAGTGTTTGGCTTCTTATTAAATGCAGGTATAAGAAGTGCAAGTGTTTTAGAAATAGCATGCTAAATTCTGAAATGTATATGCATGATTATTATTTTTAAAAGAAAACGAAACCTATTTGGTGTAACATACAACTTTCGGTGCAACATTTGTTGTGTTTATTGCACTTCAAATTTAAGAATGATGTTTTATGCATTAGTATTATTGTGAAGATGCAGTAGGCCACTTTTTGTAGATGAGTATTTGTAATGAGTTTGTCTTGTTCTTGTTATTAACATAGATGCATAATTATATGTTACAAGATGCATTCATATATAAGTGAAATTGAAAGTGTGATAACAGTGTGATGCATATTAGTGGTTCAGTATCGACAAAAAATAGATGCAATATGTGGAAGTGTAAGATGTAGTAATTGTGGTTATTGTAATTGGAATGCAAAGGGATTTGGTGATGAATAATTATGTGTAAGATGCATAAGTTTAAGAGACGATATGCAGTTTTTTTATGAATATGACTTGTGCTTGTGAGTGATATAAATGCATATTTTGATGCATTTAACCAAGCAAGTTATTACAGTTTTCATAATAGTTAGATTATGAATTGTGGTTGCGAGCCATGTAGTATTGCTTACATTTTGAAGCAGTTAAATTCTGGTTTTCGTATGTGACTAGCTCCAAAGTTTCATGTACATATAATAGAAAATCAAAACGAGCATCAAGTGTTAGGAAAAAAAAGAAAGCAAGAAGGCGCATCCACAAGCAACTTGCAACAAAACAAAAAGGGTAAAGGGAAGACGAAAAAGAGCAAAGGTTAAAAAACTAACTTTTTACGTATAAGATTCATTTGTAATTGTGTAAGTATAATTTTAATGTTTCTATTACATTAATTAGGAAGAGACGCTCCTATGATGAATATGTAGCATGATGATGCACAAAGAAAAGAAGTGAGAGGCAAAGGCAAGTTAACAAATTCAAGTTTAACTTTGTGAATTTTAATATCATAAATTCAGATTGTTATGTACTGATATAAATGTGTAATGGTAACCATGTAGGTGTGAAAGATAGTGAAAGACTATCACTGACCATGAGGAGGAGGACTAGGAGCATGATGCAGTCAAAAAGTGATGATCATGCAGAAAAATCACAAAATGATGATGAACAGCTGAAGACAAAAAATACTATGAGTGACAGTGACGAAGCTTTTGAAAGTCCTCCTAAGTCTTTAAAAAATGTAGGTGGTGCAGTTAAACATCAAAGAAAGAAGCAACACAAGAAAGGTGATTATAAGGAGATCAAGGAAGAATATACAAGTTTGTACAACAGATCATCACCAAATGTGATTGTCAATGCAATATCAAAAGCCAAACGTATGACTCCACATACTCCTTCAATAATAATCTTGATCAGTAATAATGCATGTTGGTTGACGTCCCATAGCATTTATAAAACAAGTAAAAAGCCAAACGTATGACTCCACATCCTCCTTCAATAATAATCCAGCTCCAAAAGTGACACACTTTCTGTGATTATCAACGCCCGTAAAAGGTCCAAACACCATATTGTACCTGAACATATAAGAAGGAAACTATGTTAAGCAACAATAAACTGTTTGGTGCATAAGCTAACAAAGAAATATGCAAGTTATTATGCTGTGTAGTGCAACAAAAACACAGAATATATAAAGTCGAATTCCCAAAAAACAGAATATAACAGAAACAAACCTATTCGTTCCATAGGTAGCATCAAATGAAACAACGTCACCAAACAATGCATAATTCTTGCGGCAAATAGGATCAGCCCAAAACAACCTTGTTAATTGGTCACTATCATCCACATCATAGTCAAAAAAGAAAGCAGAAGACAATTCTTGCTTCCTGAATAATTTGTCAATGACAATTTGGGCATCAACACCAGCTATATAAGCCATAAGATCACGCTTGAAATTCTTGAAATCCACAGCTGTAGCACCAATATTAGAATATCCCCCAATAGTCTCCTTATATAGCCGATATGACTTCATTGTGCCAATATTTGCTCTAAAACAATTTAAAACAAACTTCTGATGTCCAAGGTCTAAATTTCTGTTCACCTTTAGAAATTGTTTGGATGATTCAGAGCACATCGAATGATTGTGGCGTTGTTCAAATGCAAAAACTGAGTACCCTTTAAATCCAGAATATTTCAGAGTTAACATGGCTTTACATCCAATCCTATTAGATACTCTTTTCCTAGTTGATGGGAAACCTTCAGAACCAGCAACATTGGTATCCATCCTATTAGACACTCTTTTCCTATTTGTTGGGCAACCTTCAGAACCAGCAACATTGGTATCCGAAACAGGAGGACAAGCATTATTCTTAAAACCAGCTCTACTACATACAATATACTTCATCAAAATATGTCCATCTCTCGCCTTCTTTGATGTATGATGACGTATAGTAAACCCCAACTCAGCTGCATAGTCTTTGTAAAACTTAAAGGCAGCATCTAGATTCACAAATAGCATCCCAACAAGAGGTTTCTTTTCGGGTGAACATTCAGGGATCCAATACTTTGAACCCCCAGGAGAAATTTCTAAACCACAACTTTGATCTATATAAACAACAAACGATCTCTAATATTAGACATGAACAAAAACTAATAGTAAACAACAATAAAAACAGTAATTCACTAAATGCACCATACAACACAAACAAATGCATAATACATATTTTAACCTGCAGAAGACAAACCTCTAACACAAAGAGATATTTCAACAAACATTAAATTAAGTATTTAATCTGTTTACATTATTGAAGCTGCAGTTTGGAATCGTTCATAATTCATATACAATATACTACACAAAGAAAACATACCTACGAATTGAAGGAAGGTAACATTAGGAACATTTAATTATGAAATTCGGTTGTGAGAAGATACATAATAACATCAACCTCTAATACAAATCAAAAAAATAAAAATTGCAAGACCAGAACAAACTTACAAAAACACACGATCAACCTCTGAAATTATTGTGTGTGTATAAAACAGATTTCATGAAAGATATACGAATACCTGATTCCATGGCGCTCGATGATAATGATCATACATCGAATTAACTGCAGCAAGTCGCAATATCGATGAAGAAGACAAGCGCAGAGATGGAATCCATGATCGATGGGAAAGATGGAATGAAAGAATAAAGGAAAGTAGGCGGTTATGAGAAAGGAAATTAACGAACCTGATTTTTGTTCCATTATAAAAGTGGAGTAATTGACAAAACCGCCCTCAATGTTAATTAGTTGGTTGTGAGCCATTAACATAGAAACGAACGGTAATCTTGATTAAACGTATGGTTGAGATTAGTTTGTAGGTTAGTAAGGTAAGACTAGTTTGTATTTGATCTCTATTCTGTATATATATATGTATATGTGTGTGTGTGTATATATATATATATATATATATATTATACAAGTGGTTTGAAATGGGGTAGCTATAGGTTATGCCCATAATCTAGTATCACCCTATGTTGAGGGTCTTATGTTTGAAACATGGATTATATGTCATATAGTTGTCATTGTACTTTTCAAATGCTTCAAAGTACTGACCTCCCCTTCACGGGGAGGCCACCTCACAGTTTTGAGGTAGAAGCTAGAGCTCGCTTCCTATTCCCGTTGCTTCGGGTGATCTATGGAGAGAAGACATGGTTCGTGCTTCTTCTAGTTCTATTTTGATATAAATAAAATGATGCTCATGGAGACCATTTTAAACTATAAATGATTTGGGAGCCTGCGTGCTCGTGTTTGCCTTGTGTGGCCTTTGACTTTAGACATGTATTTGTTTTCCGCTGCGTATTTTGAAATGCTTTATTTATGATTGTTTATGGATGTACTTGTGTGAATGGTATTCATGTACGTCTTGCATGGTTCGAGAGAGGTAGACTGCGGTTGCCTTAATCGGATTGTGCAGCGGTTGTTAGCCCGTCCGGTCAGCCTGGGGCGTGACAGTATGAGTCTTTGTTTACGACGGTGTCCCCTTTCCCCCGAAAATTTCCCTTTGAGACACTTCAATTCGTACTCATCTCCTTGAGCAAGAGCAACGAGTCCCCTATCTTTGGTCTCAAGAGAATTCTTCGGTTCACCAAGCCTTCGGTGCACAGCTTTCGCAGCCGGCCACAATTTTTATGTAATAACTCTCCATTTACCCATGCTTGTGTTGCTTGTCGATTAGGAAAATCACAATGTTTTTCCTTTACGGATGCTAGCCATAATTGTTCTCTTCCGTTACAAATTATTCATTCTGATGTGTAGCAATCTCCAGTTTGTTCTAATTTTGGTTTCAAGTATTATGTCTGTTTTATTAATGATTATTCTCGTTTTACTTGGATTTATCCCATGTGCCACAAAAGTGAAGTTCTTTTGCACTTTAAAAAATTTAAAGTTTTGGTTGAAAATCTTTTTAATCAGAAAATTAAAATTTTTCAAAGTGATGGAGCAGGTGAATTTGTTAATCATAATATGTAGCAATTTTTCACGTGTAATGGCATTTATTTTTAAAAATCTTGTCCTGACACGCCCCAACAAAATGGGGTTGCCGAATGTAAACACCGTCATCTCCTCGAATTAACTCGCACTATGCTTCTTGAGGACTCTATACCGAGTCAATTCTGGGTCGATGCACTTTTTATTGCTGCATATATCATGAACATGCAAGTTACCTTTTCTACTTTAAATGGCTCTTCACCTTACCAAAAATTATTCCACCGAGTCCCGGACTACTCTTTTATGTGTGTGTTTGGTACGGCGTGTTATCCAAATTTTTCAACCTCTTCGGCCAATAAAATCTCACCTAGGTCTGTTCATTGTGTCTTTCTTGGCTATGCATCTGATTACAAGGGTTATCGGTGTTTTGATCCTATCACAGGTCGTGTTTAAGTCAGTCATCACGTCCGGTTCCATGAGGATATATATCCCTTCCAAACACTTACAAAGTCTGGTAATGTTATCCCCCCTCCCTCCACGCCATTTCCGATGTCACTCACGGCCCTACCTCTTGGTCGCGTCTTTAACTGTCACCCGACACCAAGTGGTTCGGTCATCAAGACCTTCCATTTTCTCCCAGTAGTCATATTTCTTTCTCACACGCCCAACCTCATTCATCTTTTTCTCCCTCGGCATTGGGTTCCTCCTCACCGTCTGCCCCTAGGACTTCTACCTCTGCACCCGTCATCCTTACCACATCTGCCCATGCCGAAGACTCCTCCTCCTCTCCGACTAGCTCCGTTGCGCCACATTCGGTGGTTAATGTGCATCCCATCCAAACCCGCGCTAAAACTAGAATTTTTAAACCAAAAATCATTTTAAACTTAAGTACGATTGTTAGTCATGCAGATCCTTCTTGCTTTACTTAGACTATTAAACATTTAAAATGGAGGGAAGCAATGGTTGATGAATTTAAAAAAATAACACTTGAGGTCTGGTGCCCTTTGACAATTCTAAGAATATTGTTGGTTGTAAGTGAATTTATAAAACCAAATATCACTTTGATGGGTCAGTAAAACACGATGAAGTTCGATTAGTTGCTTAGGGGTTTAATCAAGAGGCTGGCTTTTGAAACTTTTAGTCCTGTTATTAAACCCACCACAGTTCGTATTGTTCTTACCCTTGCAGTCTCTTTTGGTTGGGTTACACGTAAACTTGATGTTAAAAATGCATTTTTGCATGCTCATCTTACTGAGGAAGTCTATATGCGTCAACCCCGTGGTTTTATTCATCCTCGATTTCCTAATCAAATGTGTCGTTTGCGTAAGACCATTTATGATCTTAAGCAAGCCCCACGGGCATGGTTTCATAGGTTTAGTAGCTTTCTCCTGCATCATGATTTTTTCTGTAGTAAGTCTGATAATTCATTATTCATTTATCGCCATAATAATTCTAATCATGGCTAAAAGGCCAAATAGGCCCTCGAACTAATTTAAAAAGTGAAAATCACACCTTACATAGGAGGCTCTGTCCGACCGTCACCATTTGGGGCAGTTCCCCCTATAATTGTCCCAATTTACCATTTTTGGATGCCCCCTATTATTGTTTCATACCATATTTGGTAACATTTGTGTGTGCTCTAATTCATTCTTACTTTATTCTCACTTTATCAACTCATTATCAACCACAAAATTCTACTTTTCTTAAAAACCACACAACTTCCTTCTGTCCCAATATTAGGGGGACGCAGAGAGTATTAGGTATCGAGTATAATTTTTCTCAATATAATTGCAAATAACAATAGCAAAATGGGCATTACCCCATTATCCTAAAAAACACATTTTGAATTCCTTGGGAGGTGGTTAAAAGTACTAACTCTCCGTCTCACTCAACTTTTCCAAGTTGATGTTGGGTGTAGAATTATAATATCAAAATTTGTGTGATTGAGATTTACGTAGAGGAGAAAGAAATGAAAAGAATCATACATTCATTACCTTAAAAGAGAATTAGTAAAGTAATTTAGTACAAACAAAAAAGGAAAGACGACAAAATGGACGGATAAAGATTAATATAGTGATTGATTGAGGCCAAGGATAGTAGCTAGAGGGGCCCACCCGAAATTTAAAAATGACGATATTTTAAAGAAAAAATTCCATAAAATTGTTCTATAAAATATTTTTGGGCAAAAATATTATTTAGTAACTATTAGTGACTATAATCTTGTTTAAAGTTTACATCTTAGTAACCACATGTAATTACGATGATATAAGTTTGAACATAATTATAGTCACTAATAGTTACTAAGTAATATTTTTTCCATAACTTTTCTTTTAGTACGGAGTAATATTTAAAGAAAAATCATATTTTTTATGTAAAAAATTTAGTGTGAATTTTTTTCAAAAAGAATATTACTTAGTTATAAGAACTTAGTGAAAAACAATATTTTTAAAAAATATTTTTTCAGAAATATTTTCGCTCCGAGGCAGTCCCATATTGAGAAAGATGAATTATGGGGCAGTAGTACGTCGTCAGTCCGTGAACTCATTTGATAAAAAAAGGATGACATCTCTCTGGGTCCTCAACATCGATCGGGCGGTATGTTGGGAGGATGTAATAAATTGGACTATAATCACACGGATAGAGAGTGAGACCCTGTCCCCGGTACTTGCAGAGACCCTATGCATTTTTTAGCATAGTAAACTCTCATCGCAGTTGCCGAGACTCGAACTCAGGACCTAACCTTTGTGGCAATACCAGAAACACACCTTTTATTGGATGATCGATTGCATTGTGAAGGACATTTTTGTTTCTTTTCATGCTTTCCTCTAAGTTTAAGATTAATTCTTCATAATATCACATTTCTAGTCGAATTGGTCATAATATCACCAAATGTACCAGACTTATACAAATAGCCTTTTGTCTTTAAAGCTTTATCTTATCTAGATACACAAAAAAGCTTTATCTTATCTTGTCATAAAAAATACTCTCCAACCACCAAAATAAACTATATATAAGGTGTCTTTCTTTTTTTTATATTACCCCTTAAAAATTTATCATTGAGTTAGAAAAAGAATATATAAATCTCTATATATATATTATATATATACACACACACTAGTGGAGTACAAAAAATTTATCTATATATAATGTAGTTGCTTATAGGATGCGATTACAAAAAATAATACTACGTATTCAAAAATTGAAGATTTCAAGTATTTGAAAACTGAGTATAATTTGTACTAAGTCAGAATCTATTGAATATGTGGGAGATTGTCCGGTGACACTAACAATAGAAATCAAGCTTTTAATACTTATATACTACAATGTTAATGATACAATAGATTTTATTAAAACAAATAGCAGCACTTTAAGCCTTCAAGATCATATGAGATAAAATAGACAAGAACAGTTTGTGTTTAGATCACCGCTCTTTTGAAAGATCGAGTTGCATAATGGCCAGTGAAGGAGCTAGGGGGCAAGCGCCCCGCTCCGACTAATTTTTTTTACTAGTATTACTTATAATATGTTTCTTGCCCCGGCTTCTTTTTTAATTTTAAAAACAATAAGTACAACTTAAGGTTATTTTAAGATGAAGTGTTAAAATAAATAAAAAAGTATTTTCAGAAAAAGTAAAAAAAATGAAATATAGAATAAAAGGGGATTAATGAGTCAATTAGACAAATGAGCATCAAGTCTAAGGCTAAGTAAAAAAACGGGCATAAGTAGAAAAATG